TGGACTACAGCCCACTTCTACAGTCCACGAAAGCTTATGCTCTAATAAATTTGTTAGTCTCTAAGGTGCCACAAGTACTCCTGTTCTTTTTGCGGATACAGACTAACACGGCTGCTACTCTGAAACCTGCTATTCAAAAGACTCTAGTCTTGCAATCAGGAGGTGCATGCACACCTATAGTGGCATCCATACTGACAACTTTTTGAAGAGCCATAATTGCCATAGGGTAAGTAACCATTCTTGTTATTTGCTCCTGTCCCACTGCAAAGTGCAATGGGCCATTTTTATTTTAATGATCTAAACCTTTTCCCTTTATATACATGATCTTCAAATAGCTTACCTACAAGTGTTGGATACTGAAGATTTTAGCACTGGCAGTGAATGTTGTTTTCATTTCTGCAGTGGGAATATGAATCCTTTGGCATAAATTTGTTTAAATTATCACAAGTTTTAAGTCTTGTTAGGAACAACTCAGTCTGCCCCGGGGAGATTTTCATTCTGTCATGGATATAGTAAATTTATACTCAGTTTAGTAAATTTAGATTCAGTTGGATTATTCCCACCCAGAGAGCTAAAGCTTCAATCTTGTGTGCTAATTTGCATTAGTTCTTTGTGTGTTGGTTTTCATTGTGTTGTAATAATCCTGGTCTCATTTTCTCACCTTGTTTTCCATTACAGCACCAAGTTCTTACCTTGTTTTCCAGTATAGAACCAGATGCAGGGGAACCTATGCTATTAATTCAAGAAATCAAAGGATTCCTTCAAAGCTGCTGCTGTGTTCCAGATTTAAGTTCATACCATGATAGATGATGCTAATTCTGCTCATCAGCTCAGGAGCTCTCAATCTGGTAGCAGAATTGCATAACCTAAGCAGAATTCATAGGCATTTTTTCCTTCCTAGCATATTTCCATTTATCTCCAAACTAGATTGGAGAGAGTTGCCTCTTACCTTCATAATTGTGGTTGTGAATGTGCAGATTTGACATTTATTCTTTTTGGGAATGTTAGTTCTGTTCTTTATTTTAACTTGCTATTTCCCTGGCTCTCCCCCCAACCTGACAGGGAAGGACTCTCGTCTCCTTGTCTTCAGGATGAGCGCTGTACGAAATGGCATAGAAGCAAAGCAGATGGCAAAGAGCAAATATGACTGCAGAGAAAATAAACTTGAGAAAACAAAAGGTGATTTGACTCTCATTTATCAAAAGACCCAATTAAGGCATTGGGCCAGAAGCTGCCAAAGGTCCTATTGGCTCCCCTGTTGATGTTGCAGCAACTGACCCTTAGTTATTCTCGTCTGGACAGTAGATTGAAATCTTGTGTTAGACTGTATGTGAAAATAAATTTGGACTAATCCCAATTCCCATTTGTGCACTTCACAAAAATACCACATGACTTGGTAGTTTTTACCAGGGAGAAGTTCTGAAGCAGAATAGATATATTACAAGCAGGATTGAAGGAGTCTGGCAGAGCTATGTATGGAGGCCCAGGACTGGAATAATAGGGCAGTGCTGCAGGTCAGACTTGGTGCATTGGTGGAATTGTATGAGTTCCTAGTACGTGGAATAGCAGGGGAGTTGCACCTTATTGATGAGTTGTATTGGAAAAGCTGAGAGCATTTCTAGATGGGGAGCAATAGAATTTTATGGGATATAATTGAGATGCATACTATCCCTGGCACAAGCCTATGCATTTAGTCATTCACTTTCATAAGAAATTATTCATTTGCAAATTTTAGAGGGTGAAAAAATAATTAGGTTTCACTTCACAAGGAACTATGTGGAGTTCATGGGTGTGTTTCTTGAAGGGAATGTTAATACATGCATTATCTCCTTAGGCTGCCATTTGTATGCCATTAATACTCACCACAGCAGTGAACTGAGGATTGTTGTGGCTATTAGGAACAAACTACTCCTCATCACAAAGAAATACAATCAAGGCAACAGTTTAACCAGTGTCTGTTTGATGTCATCACTGTCTGAATCACCAGTGGAGGAATTCCAGTACATCAGGGTATGCTTGAGACAAATCACTAAAAATACCTTCTCTCACACTTGGTAGGGCTGACACCTGGTTCAGGAGGGGCACACATCTTGCCTTTCTAAACCCAGGATTGGTTCAAGTGAGAGACCCAACAATGGTGATGGGAAATCCCATTGCAGATAATTAAACAAAAATTCTCCGCTTTTTTTAACTGGATTCTTGTTCATTAATGAAACATATCTGTGTACAGCCCGTCTGCCCTCTAGCACAGCTCACTGGGCACTACCTGTAGTATAAACTATTTCCAGTGAGAATATGAAAAGTAGAATAATTCCTTTAATTTCCATCTTAATGTAATGTCATTTACATTACAGGAGATTTGTCTCTCTGACCCTCCAGTGATCATGACTCTGGTGGATGGACCTACTGGAGACAATGACAATATGATCTGTGTAGCATATCGGCATCAGTTTGATTTAGTTAACGAGAGTACTGGGGAGTCCTACAGGTTACATCATGTTGAAGCAAGCAGGGTAAGTTCTCAGCATTAGAACAGAGTTTGCTAGTGTAACCACACCTAGCACCATAAAAGTCGATATAGCTATCCCTGAGGCCACAGTGACTTCTACCACCTTCCTTAGAGCACTAGTTTGGGAGGATCTTGGCTTTTTTGCTTTTCATTTAGTTTTCAAGCTGTTCTCTCTGCTCCCACTCTGCCTGAGACCTGAGTTATTTCTAGGGTACCTAATGGTGATTGTCCCCAGGCAATCATAAAGTAAGACATCTCTGACTGGTACTCCTAGACATATCACCAGGTGGGCAAAAGCCTTGCATCTCAGAGTCTGGAATATCACCTTCAGCATAGCTGTAAAGCCTTTTCTTTTCTTCCTAGCTCAAAGGCTTGTCTCGCTTTTAGTACAGGGTGAGAGAGAGAGAGAGAGTGTGTGTGTGTGTAGTAAACTACCCTTTGTTAGCCATCAATTTCAAATTAAGATTTGCATAAACCAAGACTGAACCAGCTTTCCTTGCCTTCTCAGGTTTGAGGAATAAGCTCCCTCCTGTTCGATTTCCTTTTCCAGTCTTGCATATTCCTCCTGAAGGCCTTTTGTATTCCCCTTAAGGTCTATTTTTAACATAGATTAATGACTGGGTGAGACCTCATATGGAATACTGCATGCAGTTTTAGTCTCCCATGTTTAAGAAGGATGATTTCAAAGTGGAACAGGTGCAAAGAAGAGCTTCTAGGATGATCAGAGGAATGGAAAAGCTACATTATGAGAGGAGACTGAAGCAGCTTTTCTTGTTTAACCTAACCATACAAAGGCTGAGGGGAGATATGATTGCTCTCTACAAATACATCAGAGGGATAAAAACCAGGGAGGGAGTAGAGTTATTTAAGTTAAGCACCACTGTTGACACAAGAACAAATAGCTATAAACTGACCATCAACAAATTTAGGCTTGAAATTAGATGAAGGTTTGTAACCATCAAAGGAGAGAAGTTCTGGAAACAGTCTTCCAAGGGAAGCAATGAGAGCAAAAAAACCCAACTTGTTTTAAGACTGAGCTTGATAAGTTTATGGAGGGAATGGTATGATGAGACTGCCTACGATGGGATGTGGCCCATCTGCGACAGCTAGTAGCAAATATCCCCAATGGCCAGAGATGGGGCACTAGATGGGGAGGGCCTGGTTGGTTTTGCCCACATGCTCAGGGTCCAGCTGATTGCCATATTTGAGGTTGAGAAGGAATTTTCCCTCAAGTCAGATTGGCAGAGACCTTGGGTTTTTTTACCTTTCTCTGCAGCATGGTGCATGGTCACTTTCTGGTTTAAACTAGATTGTTGGATTCTCTGTAACTTGAAATCCTTTAAATCATGATTTGGTGACTTCAGTAACTCAGCCAGAGGTTATTACAGGAGTGGGTGGGTGAGGTTCTTTGTCCTGCGAAGGCCAGGAGTGCAGGCTAGATCAGGGGTGGGCAAACTTTTTGGTCCAAGGGCCTCATCTGGGTATGGACATTTTATGGCAGGCCATGATTGCTCACAAAATTGGGGGTTGGGGTGCGGGAGGGGAGTGAGGGCTCTGGCTGGGGGGGTGGGCTCTGGGGTGGGGCCGGAAATGAGAAGTTCAGGTTGCAGGAGGGGGCTCTGGGCTGGGGCAGGGGGTTGAGGGAAGGGGAGAGGGCTCAGCTGGGGGTGCAGTCTCTGGGGTGGGGCTGGGGATGAGGGGTTGGGGGTGCAAGAGATTGCTCTGGGCTGGAACAGAGGGGTTCAGAGGGCGGGAGAGGGATCAGGGCTGGGGTAGGGGGTTGGGGCGCGGGAGAGGGTCAGGGGTGCAGGCTCCAGGTGGCGCTTACCTCAAGCAGCTCCCAGAAGCAGCGGCATGTCCCTCCTCCGGCTCCTATGCGGAGGCGAGGCCAGGGGGCTCTGCATGCTGCTTTACCGCGTTGTATCCAAATTCGTGTGGAGCCCTGGGCCCTTTAAAGCGCCGCCCAAGCCCCGCTGCCAGAGCTCTGGTGGTGATTTAAAGGGCCCAGGGCTCCCCGCAGTGGCTGGAGCACCTGGCCCTTTAAATCACCGCTGGGGAAGCCTGACAGTACTGGCTTACTTTAACCTCTGGCTATAACGCGGTTTCACCTATAACGCGGTGAGATTTTTGGCTCCAGAGGACTGCATTATATCAGGGTAGAGGTGTATATGGTAAAAATAAGAAAGTAAGCAATTTTTCAGTAAGTGTGTGCTGTGACTCTTCTGTATTTTTATGTCTGATATTTGTAAGCAAGTAGTTTTTAAGTGAGGTGAAACTTGGGAGTATGCAAGACAAATCAGGCTTTGGAAAGGGGTACATTAGTATGGAAAGGTTGAGAGCCACTGTTATGGAGTATTATGAAAGTGATGCAATTTAAAAAAACAAACCTGAGCACTTATCAGTGCTTTTGTGCCTTTTCATGAAGTTTTAAATACCAACCACAACTGCCTAAAACTATTTCTTACATTCTTGGAGTATTGTGTGAGAATTTCTTAATAACTTGAACTCAAGAAATGGCTTTTAGTCTTATCTAAGAAATCACTGCCCAATGCAGTACTGAAATGGGGAAACAAGCAGAATTAGCTCTGTATTTCCAGTGGCCAAAATATTCTAACTTGGTTGCCTGAAGTTAGACATCTAAATAAATGCCAATTTTTCAGAAATTTTGAGTACCCACAATTCCTATTGATTTCTGTCCGAGCCTGGGATGGTCAGTATCTCTGAAAGTCGAGTCATTTTTATTTGTGTCTAAATATGGATTTAGGTGTCTGGCTGTAGATACCCAAGTTTGAATATTTTGAGCAGTCTGTTTATGCTGATAGTCTTCCTCAAAATGCAAATAGATAAATTCTCCTCTCTTCTGATGGTTCTTGGTTTTATTTAATTTACTTTTTGTTTTATTTTTTACCTCTTATGTTTTTTGCGTGAATTTAGTGATGATGAAAGGGACCAGGTTTGACAGCCTTGGAGACTGAGCAGGTACCGCAAGGATAGTTGCAATGCAAGCATCCCCATGTGGTCTTGCCAATTTTCCTCAATCCTGATCTGAAGAATCTACTTCTAGGGATGAGAGGGGACTTCATTCACCATGGCCCGTTCAGTCACTGCCCTATTGACTGAGGCTACCAACAAGGCTGTCAGTTGGTACCAATTATGGTGGTTGTTTTTGGGATGTGGACACTGGCCTCTGGGAATTGGACTTGGTGTCCATCAAATCATTTCACTTAGGTCACCAAACAGCTGTCATTTGGTAACAGCTTTTTGTCACTACAGATCTGGGATAGGTCTGAACTGGTGGTATGTGTATTTATGTATAATATCCCTATGGGTGCTCCCCTGTAGATGCGCTTGCATCCCTACATTGCTGATTGGAGAACTTTGGTAGCAGTGTCCATTCGGCCCGCACATCCACTATACTCCCTCGTGCCCCACCAGGAGGCTAACCAGCTTGTGTGGGTGAACCCCCTCCTCAGTTCCTTTTCAACCGCCCCTGGCTAGAGACGGAGTCATTAACAGTCTGTTTGTGATCGTTATCTCTATTCTTTTCATTAGCATTTTTAGTAGCTAGTTAATCTTCCCTCCTTCCTTAGCTGTACATTTTCTTTATTTTGTCTTTTAAAAAAAACACTTTTAATTTTCCCCCTTTGTAGGGGACCCTTTCCCCACAGCAGGGTATGCCTGGCTCACCAGGCTACAATAAGTGCATTCTATGTAAAGAGCCCATCCCTATGGCAGATAAACATATACGCTGCCTAGGGGAAGGTCACATTCCTCAGAAGTGTGGTCTCTGTCAACAATTTAAACCAAGGTCTCGTAAGGACATGGAACTGAGACAAAAAATCAGCCTGATGGCGGCAGCCCGGCAGCCTTCCCTTGACCCACACTGGGAATCACCTAGAAGATTTGAATCTTCCCCACAGCCCTCGATGTCCAAGGACTATGGGTCGAAGAAATCAGCTGCAGATCCCTCATGAGAGGTATCTAAAAAGAGATATGTGAGCCTTGAGCTAGCCGAAAAGGATCACCAGCATGCTCGGAATCGTTGGTACCAAGACCATCCAAGCAGTAGCGTAGCTAGTGGGGTGCAGGGGAAGCAGCCGCTTCCCCTCATCACATTTTTGAAACGTGGCGCCTAAAAGGGCCCCGCAGCTGTCCACCCCTTCCCTAGCTCACTTCCCCCTCCTCCCCTCTCCTGAACACTCCGCCCTCCTGCTCCTCCCCCTCCCATGCTTCCCGCGAACGTGTGATTCTAAAAACAAGCAGGGGGCAGGCCGGTGGCAGCAGCAGGTAAACTGGGGGGAAGGAGATGCGAGAAGGAGGGCTCCGGGGAGACGAGGCGAGGCGCAGTGTGGCCCAGTCTAGCCCTGGCCGAGCGGCTCCCACTGGCCCTGGCGAAGCGGCTCTGGCTGTCCCTGGAGCACCGGCCCGGTCCCGGCCCTGGTGGCTCCAGCCGAGCACGCTGGCCCGCTCCCGGCCCTGGCGGCTCTGGCCCGGCTTGGCCCCAGTGGCGCCGGCCGAGCACCCTGGCGGCTCCGGCCCCAGCAGCTTCAGCTTGGCCCGGGCCCCGCGGCACTGGCCCGCTCCCGGCAGGGTTACCATTCATCCGGATTCCCCTGGACATGTCCGGCTTTTTGAGCTAAAAATAGCGTTCGGGGGGAATTTGTAAATGTCCAGACTTCCCCCCTCCCCCCCTCCATGCAGAGGCGCACAGGTGACAGGGCAGCCGGCCGGATGGTGCCACTTACATGGGACTCCAACAGCCAGAGAGAGCCCCTCCTCTGCTTCCCCTGCAGCAGAGATCACTCCCTCCCTCCCTGCATTTGCAGATCGCCTCCGGCAGTCTGGAGCTCCTCCCCCGCTCCTCCTCCCTTGCTGCCCAGCGTGCCGGGACGAGCGGCAGCGTAAGGGGGCCAGGGGGTCGGAGAAGGGGCAGGGAGGTTCTGGAGGGGGCAGTCAAGAGACGGGGGGTCGGGAGTTCGGGGGGGCTTTCTGGGGGGGTTGTGG